ACCTTGCTGGGGTCGTTTGACCCCAGTACTCTTTCCTGCCATGGCAGAGGGTCGGACTAGATGATCTACTCAGGTCCCTTCCGACCCTAGAAACTATGAAACTATCTGTCCCCACCAGCCTGTCATTCTTGACAGGCAATTTGCTAGTATTAGAATAATGACATGCCTAATTCTTTCACTCTGTGATTTGTCCTGGTCAATGAACCTAACTCCATTTGGGAAACAGACTGTGGGAACATCTACACTGCAAACTGTAGTGCGGTGTAGACATAGCTTAGCTGGCTTTAAACCAGCTGGCCTGGGTATGGGAAGCAGTCTAGCCACAGCAGCTGGCCTGGGCATGGGTTAATTTACCCTGCTGAGAAGCAGCTGAGTAAAATGCTCTCTCTTTATATCAATATAAACCACTATTATAAATAAGCAACATAAACCACTGGCTAGATTAAAGCATTTAATAGACAGGAGTTGAGCAAGGCACTCAGAGTCAGGAGTCCTTGATTTTATCTCTAGTTCTGTCAGGAAACTTGTCCCTAGCCTTGGGAAATACAGTTCCCGGCTGTGTGGGTGTCTACACTGCAGTCTGAGGGGTGACTGCAGCTCCTGTAGGCCAGCTTTAGTTTAGGCAGCTGGGGTACTGTAGCCTGGGAGATGGAGCACCTCAGACTTCAGTGAGGGTTGAGTTGGTCATCAAAGCAGCTGAGGGTCTGGCCAGGCTGTCTCAGAAGCATACAAAATGAGGGTTGGAGGGGCCTCAGAAGTCCTCGGGGGTGCTCTACTGCAGCCTCCTGCCCAAAGCAGGACCATCCCCCTCGACATCATGCCAGCCAAGGCTTTGTCCACCTGGGCCTTAAAAACTGCCGAGGCTGGAGATTCCCCCACGGCTCTGCGTAGCCTGTTCCATGTTTCACTGCCCACACCCGGCTCCCATGCGTGGGCCGGGGGCAGCTCTCCGTGCCTTGGTCACTGCCCACCCGGCTTCTGGCAGAGCTTTGAGCTGGGCCTGGGCCTGGCAGGGCTGGGGCGCCGCACCCACACGCTGGAGGAGGCCGGGACGGCGGCCGAGGCAGGGGCAGAGACACCGCAACGGAGCCCCCGGGGCGGGTGTGTTGCACCCTGCGCCGCATGCGTGGCGGAGCAGGGCCGCCCGATCTACCTCCGCCGGGCCAGGGGGCTCTCCAGGGTGCGGCAGGGCAAGGCCTGGGGGTCGCGCCTGGAGCTCAGCCCTCGCGCTGCTGCGGGCGATCACGGCCGGGGAAGACACGGCCAGGCCCGCCCCGTGTGCCGGCCGGCCGGGGGGGCGAGCACCAGCAGAGGGCAAGACAGCACGCCCCGGCCCCGGCCCCGCTCGCCCGCTGTAGAGGCGGCAGTTCTCGCAAGCCGCTGGCAGGGAGGCAGCCGCGTGTCGTAAGACGGGAGGGAGGCGGCGGAGGAGGGCGGGCTCTGGCTGCCCGCGATAAAAGGCACGAGCGGGGCCGGGCGCCTGAGAGGGGGAGCGAGCGCAGCGCGGGCCGGGCTGGGCCGGGGGAGCGCGCAGGTAACCGCCGCCTCCCG